TGATAAATTTATAATTCATAAAAATAATTTAATAAAATGACACTAATAATTCACACAATTTCATTAAGTAATTTTAAAAAATTTATGGTTTAAGATATTGAGCACTTTGAAAATGCCATATTTTTTACGAGAACCTTATACTGAGTTTCCTCCATTAATTCAACAATGAACACAATGAATGCAGCAAGATACCCATATAAAAATAAATTGAAGCTTTAGGTAACTAATTTTAGAGATTTTCATTGTATAAAACAGATTGTTCAAATACCCATACAATTTAATTTTCATTTTTTTCTAATATGTGTGTATTTCACATTTTTGCTTGGCTTAACTATGCTCTTTTCATATTGTAGAATGTAGTACTGTAGATATTATATAGAATACTTATATACCTAGTACATATAACCCTATTTAGTAAACTTTGATGTAAGTATTTTTTAGATAGAAAAAACATGTACTTTTATTTGAATAAAGTTTTGTTTTTGAAGATCTTGTGTATTTGACTAAGTGATTAATTATCCTATAGATTTTATTTAATTTTTTGTTGTCATCAACTTCAGCACATATTTATATTTATGCAAAAATGTAACTATTTAATGTTAATAATTAAAATGTCCATTTACAAAGTTATTATTTAAAATTGTGTTAATCTGTAGCATTTATAAAGAAATGTATGCATAAATTTTAATCAGTTTATGTTTTGTAAGTAACTTGAACACATTTTTTTATAGTTATTTAGTAATTACATACTTACTTATTAATTAGATGTTACATAGCGTTATAAAAGGATACACATTTATATTCTTTTTTTTCCCATTGCAGCAGAAACTATTCCAGAACCATCAACAAAAGATCTAGTGTCAGGTATGAAGTTTAGATATTATTAATGCAACAAAATGTAATAAAAAGTATATAAATATACATTTGAATATTTATTAAAATAACTCAAATATAAAAAATTATACTAGTTTTTGAGCTTAAGTTGCAAAAAAATATTAACCAGTATTCTAGTATAATAATAGGTAATATTCTTGCAGTTGCGATTTTTAACGCAATTCCGTTCATCGGCTTTGGTTTTCTTGACAACTGCATCATGATTGTCGCTGTACGTATTATAAATTTGTACAATTTATGTTCCAACTTGTAATGCATTTATTTCAGGGAGACCAAATTGAATCACTATTGAATACAAAATTTGTAATATCAACTATGACGGCTGCGGCTTTAGGCAATACAATATCTGATATTATCGGAATCGGATCTGTACATTATGTAGAACGGTTTGCTCAAGCAGTTGGATTTAAAGCACCAAAACTTAATCCTGCGCAATTAAATCTACGTAGGACCAAAAGAGCCGCTAACTTGGTATGACATGTCACTTGTATGTTGCATTAAATTGTTACATTAATAATTTACGACTAAGAAAACAATTTATAATAATTCAGGGACGAGTTCTTGGAGTTACAACTGGATGTTTTCTCGGAATGATACCTATTTATATTATGCCTCTCTTTCATCATATTGGTTGAAATTATAAATATTAATGTTGAAAATATTATGTTTTCATCGCGATATTTACTCTTCACAGTAAATGAATGTACAATAGAAAATAACTATTTACTTATAATATTCACGTGACCAGAAATTTTACAACTATTTGCAATATTAATTTATGACAATCATAGTATTGTATAATATTATGTAATCTATGTAAGATGAATGTATTTAATGTATACATATGTATAAAGTAATTGTAAATGTGTTGTCACGATTGTTTAAATAGCAACAGTAATAAATGTTACGTTTTATGTCGTACATTTTATGATTGTTCCTTATATTATTAAAATTTAAGAATGTCTATAAAACTCTAAGGATTGTTACAGTTCTAAAAAAAATAATACCTCTTTAGATGTATCATGTTCTTTATTCAAAAAATTACTTTGTTAGTATAGAAGTTACGCATTTACTGTTAATTTTGTAACGTAATTTGCGTAATATTTCCAATCATGCAAAAGAATTCTCAAATCTATGCCCAAAATTTGTTTCCAGTTCATACTTATTAAAAATTCATCTGAAGTAGTAGTATCAAGTAACAATTTAGTTGTTATTAATGCATCCGCATGTTCAATTTCATCGTTCGCCAAATGCAATTTTTTCGATTCTAAATTTGAATGTTCCTGTACCCAGATCATCATTGAATTTAACCACCATTTCCAACTGACGTCTGTAATTTCATTTCTTTTAATATTCTCACTATTCTCCTGAGATTGATTGCAATTTAAAGAAGATGATATAAAGTCCGTTGTTAAAATATTTTCTGGTAGAATCTCAATAGGTGATGATGCTACATCTATTACTGGATTCAAATCTGTTTGCATAATATCTGTGCAATTTGCTGTTTGTCTTGGACTAAATATTGTTCCTGGAAGGTAGCTTGTAATTAAGGCAGATCCAAAAAGTGTGACTACTCCTGCAGTATATGTTGCCAAACAGATAGATGATATGTTTACCACAGCATGTGCTACTGCTAATAATTGCATTGAATTCATTAGACAGCTTAGTTCTGTATATGAATACCAACCTCTCTTTTGTGCTTCTTTATAAGCTACATCTTTTTCTAATTTTTGCAGTCTTTCCCAAAAGTCTTGATTATGAACAAAGACTGTCCAATCCTAAGTAATTTATAAAATTTCATACCAATAAAATGTATCTCAAAATTTATTACAAAATAGCATGTAGTAACATATTTTATTTACTCACAATAGCTTTGAGAAAATCTTTTTCTAATTGATTTATTTGTGAAACAGCCAGATCACCTGAATGTGCCCATTCAGTATTAAAAACTTCATCTTCTTCTCCTTCATCATTTAAAAATTTACTAGCCACCATCTATAAAATGGAAAATACATGCTTTAAGCAACAATATTCGACAGAAAATAATGTACTTTTATACAATGAATGAGATTAATATAATACCAAGGAAACAAGGAATAACTCAGAAGGTGCTACTCTTTGAATATATTCTGGATTACAATCTTTCAACCTTTCCAAATACAACAATGCCAAAACAAGGGAACAAGGTGAAACACATGCATTTCTAGAAATTCTGCTAGCCTCTTCCACATCTAATCTTTCAAGTGTATGACCACTCTTTACTTCAGTGAATAGTTCTGCTGCCAATTCTAAGAATAAATTTTAATTATATAATAATTAATGCCAGAAAGTATTTAATTAATGAATTACACAACATTACGAAAGCACAACAATTTTTAAACAATAATGTGATAACAATTGGCAACATATATATTATATGAAAATATAAATTATTTTCAATTCCAATAATTCTTTAGGGCTGTTATATTCGTTTAATAGGAGCATAAAATTATATAATTCTTATAATTTCTCCTTCATAATTTAATTAATCATGTGTATATAACTACGCAAATATTGAGTATTGTTGATAATACTAACCAGTAACAGGTAAACTAAGACAATCGGTCATGGGTAATTTTGAATAGTAAAGAGATTTTGATATACGATTTAAAAACTCATCGTGATTGCCCATGCTCTGTAAATAAAAATAAGCATAAGAAACTCTTGTTTCTTTTAAAAATATGGTAAAGAATCACGTTACCTTAAGTTTTGATGGGGTTTTTCGTTTCTTCGAAATATTTGTCATGTTAGAATTTTAATAAAAGTAGAACAGTTTCTTCATACAAAATGTACTCGAAAAACAAAAGTAATAATTAATTTTGAAAAATCTAAGAATATTATATTTTGAAACAGTGGTATATAAAGCCTAATTTTGAGAAGAACGAGACGATTTATATTTCCTATTCATAATGAATGGGGCTAAAGGTAGAACATCATTCGTACCACTACAAGCAATTAATCGGATGACCTGAAAAGTATTAAAGTATTTATTCATCAAAGCAAGTATATTTAAAATTATTTTGTGTGATAAGGAAATTAAATGAAATGGAAAGAGTTATATTTTTATTTTGACTATATGTATACGACAACTGTATATTATTTTATTGTTGGTATAACTGCAAGGCAATGAACTCATAATTCAATTACCAAAATCGAACGAGTAGAATGAGTGAATAGCAAGTTTTAATTTTAATATATAGAAATAAGAAAAGAAATCAGTGATATTTTTCTGTTACGAGTGAAATACATAGTTTTATTATTTACTGAGATTCAATAACGTGTACTGTCTCTGTTGATATTTGTAAATTGTTTTGTAGATGTGGTATGAGTATATGTATATATACTTATTAGTAATTCTCTTGTAGCTACTTTCATACACTAAATAGGTTATTTGACATATGTCAGATTTCTTATTACCGAATTAGTGACTAATTGGTTGAATCAAGAAAGGGATGAACCGAGTGGAAAGTGGTATCAAACAATAACAACTCATGTGAAAATGTGGTGGTAGTGATGCGTTTAAAGGGGAAAAATAATACAAAATCATTTCAAAGCGTCTATAAGGTGCTCTCGCGTATATGTCGTAAGTATTCAATACTTAATTTTTTAATTAATTAAATCATCCTATCAATTAGGTTTTCTTGAAGTAACATAATTATTACACAAATGTAATCAGCAAAATATACGTTATATAAAATCTAGTTTCTATTGTGACATATATGTATATTTTTCTTTTTAAGTTAAATTGTTTTTAATAGTTTTAATTTTTAATATGATTTAAAATTCGAATGTGTATGGTGAAGGAGATAATTTTTTCATCAGGAACTGCAGATAAAGGACAACTTGATGGTTTCATGGCGGATGGTGCAGTGCCGCCAATAAAGAATGGCCATAACTGTAATAATATGGGTTTCGCAACACAACCAGTAAAACAAACTTCTGATGCCTCTAATACTGTATATGCAGTAGGGCAATATGCCCCAAAAGTTTTAAGGAATTTGAATGCCCAAAGATTAAAGAATCAATTTAGTGATGTTGGTCTGGTTGCCGGTGGTAGTGTTATTAGAGCACACAGATCAGTTTTGGCAGCAGGAAGTGCATATTTTAATGCTATGTTCACTGGTGGTTTGGTTGAAGAACAACAGGAGTTAGTAGAAATTCATTCAGTATCAGCTAATATTCTTTCCCTCTTGGTGGATTTCATTTACACTGGGAATGTTGATATTACCCAGGACAATGTTCAAGAATTATTTGCAGCTGCTGATATGTTAGAATTAGATGAAGTAGTGTTTGGTTGCATTACCTATTTAAAACAGCAACTTCATTATTCAAATGCCCTTGGGATTTATAGGTGAGATCAATAAAACTGAAGCAAAATATGATATAAATTGGATGTTTAATAAATATAACCAGAATATTATACAGTATCATTGTTTAAAATAATTGTATTAAATAGATTTGCAGAAGCACATAACAGATTAGATCTTTTGGAGACTGCCCTACGCTTTATACAAGTCAATTTTCCTCAAGTATCTCAAGAGGAAGAATTTTTGGATCTGCCAAAAGAACATCTTGTTCATTTTCTCAGTAGTGATTATATTCATATTGATACTGAATTCCAGGTTTGTACTTTTACATATGTCTTGAAAGTGTATCAGTGTTTTATATTTGATCCATTGTAAACATTTTTAAATTTTATTGTATCAGGTCTTCCAAGCGGCATATAATTGGATTGTTCATGATATACCAACAAGAAGATGTTATGTATTTGAAATATTAAGTCATATACGTTTACGGCTGTGTTCATTAGCGAGATTGGAGCGAATTATTTTGGAATGTAAAGATGCAAGTCTCATTGTTGCATTAAGATCTATACAAAAAGATTTAGTATCAAATAAAGGATGTCTTGTGCCTCTTCACGCACAACCTAGACTTTGCGCTAAAAAGAATATTTTAGTTATCGGCGGATCAAGACGTGAACATTCAGCAGACAGTTGGAGTAGAACTGCTGAAAGTACTTATGAAACAATCGAAAAATATGATATATTTACAGGGTACATTTCCTTATTTGTATTACTTAATATTAATTTGTAAATTAAGCATTGTACATATCAAATATTAAATAATTGTAACAATTATCTTTGTAGTGAATGGAGTGAAGCAGCACCAATAGGTATAGGACGAATACTACCAGGAGTAGCACTACTAGATGGCAAAGTGTATGCTGTTGGTGGAGAACTTGAATCATGCATTATTGCAAATGGTGAATGTTATGATCCATGTGATAATGTATGGACGTCGATTGCTTGTATGGAGGAACCTAGGTGTGAATTTGGACTTTGTGCCTTGGATAATAACTTATATGCATTCGGTGGTTGGGTAGGTGAAGATATTGGTGGATCAATAGAAATATATGATCCAATAACCAATTCTTGGACACTTGATGGGCAACTTCCTGAACCTCGATTTAGTATGGGAGTAGTTGCTTATGAAGGTAAATAAATTTAATTAAATGATAAGGCTTTGAAATTTAATTGGGTTATATATAAAGGATGGGAAACATTGAAGTCAATATGTTATTTAGGATTAATATACGTAGTCGGTGGTTGTACGCATAATAGTAGACATCGCCAGGATATGATGAGTTATAATCCAGTAACAAAAGAATGGTCTCATTTAGCTCGAATGCTCACACCGCGTTCACAAATGGGAATCACTATTCTCGATGGATACCTTTACGTTGTCGGTGGTACTAATAAAAATCAAGAAGTTTTAACATCCGTTGAAAGATATTCTTTTGAAAAGGTGATTTACTCTCTAATTCATTACAACTTTGTTTGGACTTTTTATTAATTTTTTTATATTTCAGAATAAATGGAGTACTGTTGCGCCTATGAATATAGGTAGATCATATCCTGCAGTTGCGGCTGCCGATAGCCGACTTTATGTTATAGGAGGTGATCAGTCTCAGGAAATCAATTTTTACCGAACACAGATCACAATTTCTACTGTTGAATGTTACGATCCTCATTCAAACAAATGGCATGAATGTGCTTCGCTGCCGACAAGTAGAGGTGAAGCAGCGGCAATTGTTGCACCTTTTTGATTGAAATTTCCTTTCAACATTGATAAATTTATATGATATGTTGAACATATTTTATATCACTTTCCTTTTAAATTTTATCATGCTATTCGAGCATCTATTTAAAAATTTCTTAAACGTAAACACGATATCAAATGAGAAACATATGTTTATTGACTATCTTATTTTATGCCGTATATACAAACATGATCAAACATACATAATCTAGAATGTATTTTTTTATAGATCACAATTTTAACAGTACCGTCGAAAGCATTTTTCTTTTCTATTGAGCATAAGATGCAACAGGATTTGAAAACAAAAGAGAAATGTTCCATTATAAGAGTAGTACAGTGCTATTTTCTGTACCCTCGATATTAAATTACGTATACTGATTTTCAAGAAAAGTTTATTATATGTATTTACCAATGAAAGTAGCTGAAACTGACTTCCATATATTTTAAAACTTTCTTAGTATAAAAAATTTTATTAGTTATAGAAGTGACTGACAGCCTTCTCATTCTATAGTCATTTACCAAAGTTATTGAGAATAAAAAATACGATATTTTACTGTAAATTTTATCACACTACAACGAGAGGTAAACGGAAAGCATATTTCCATGTAATATGCGTGAAATGAAATGTCCTTAATGCAAAAGAATGAAAATGAGATACATTTAGTTTTCATTGAGAATTGTATATTACAGTTACGCGTGTTTGTGATATTTATCGATTTTTTTTCCTTAAATTAATATTTCTCGCAATAATCGTGTACGTATACTTCGTTACTTATTAATTTTCCCGGTGTAAGGAGTAACAAATACTTAATGCTACGATGATATTATCTCTTTATATTAATTTTTTTAAAACTGTGTAAAGATATTTTATAAATTATGAAATCACGTTTTATAGAATCACATATAATATTTGTAAGTTAAGCAATCATATCTTATGTTAATAAGTTTTATAGACGAATTTTATTATAATTAAGTTCGTGTTTAAAAGTATGACTGGTGCTACGTTGAAATTAAAATCGAAAACACCTTTTTTATATGTCATAAAATTCATAAGACAAGTTCGTGTTTGAAATTCTAAAATCTTGGATGATATAAAAGATACAAACAAATGAGAAGTATGTTTTGAAAAACTGATAAGAGGTTGCTTGCCATACAACATAACTACAAAAATGTCTAGCAAAGCTAGTGTCCCAGGCTAGGGCTCTTGGGTCTACTATGCCTAATATTAATACTACTCTAAACATAACACTTAAGTACTCTCGCACATTAATCTTACAAATATTGTTAGCGAGTGCAACATTTTTCCGCAATATAAGTAAATCTCGCATTTCTCTCTTTTAACTAACGAGTCCTATATCATCTAGTTTATTTATAGAGTATACACTATGTACAGCCCTCATAACTGTGTCTGTTTTAAGGCATCCAGCCCAGTTCCATCTTTTCTCAATTTCGGGCCATATTATCGCACCATCCTCAATCACTGAGATTAATGACAAGCACCTCACACTCCTGATATGTGGATACAGCAAAAGGTAACTCAAAACTTTGGACCTTGTCACTTCTACACACGTCTTATTGTTCAAATTCCAATTTGCTGTACCAACCTTAAGGGTAAGCCTTATTTTTGATAATACATCACTTATTGACCTTGTGGGCAGCTACCATTTCTTTCTCTCGCTTCCAATCAGGGTGAAACCATAATTGTGGTTGCAAACCTCCACTTCTTCAAATTTTCTGCATAGCTTAACACTGGAACAAGTGCCACTCCTAATTCTTTTCTTTTGCAGAGAAATCACCTTGTCTATATATTTCTCAATGGCTCGCGCCCACGGTTCTGATGTCATGATGTCATCTCCGCCGCGACTAGGGCTGTGTTGCCAAGCGATGTTAGTAATTCTCCGCTGCCACGTTGGCCTGCTCTTAGCCAGACATCGCCGTCGTCGTTTAACGTGATAGGGCAAGCCATTTCTCTTGAACAATTCATTATCACTGGCCTTAATCTTGGAAGGTAGAAAGAGGCGAGGAAATCTGCTTCAATCATACGCTCCTCCAATGTCACGGTGCCATCCCAACCGCTATAGTCGAGGCATAACAGCGACTGGATCATGCACGTCTTCTTTTCTTTCAATCAATTCAACTCCAATGTCGCTGTCTTCGTTCCATCCTTGATTTATTTCTCGTTTACTATTTATAGAATTAGCGTCAGCTTCGCAGCACCCAACGCCCAATCTGGGTAAACCACCAACTCGCACAGTCAGGTGCCTTCTCTAGGAATTCAATCAAAGTGTGTCCTTCATCTAACGCCCCTGTACTTCCCTGCCTGTTGATACTGTTCATCACTTCATCTTTCGTCAGCAATTCGCACTTACCTTTTATGTTTTTTTTTTTCCATAGGCACTTGTCAACATCTGTAAAGCCTCGTATATTTTACTGATTGCACCGGCGTTCATAGTCCCCGAGTTGACATCCAGTCGTTTTTCGATAGAGGTTTGCTTCCATTTATCTGTCGTTTGTGTGTGGCAAAAGGTCGCGTTCAAATCGTTCAAACCCAAAACCTTTCTTTCGAATTCACTAGTAAGTCCATTTCGTAAATTCTTGTATACTCCAGTTTTCCTTTCTTTTGCTAGAGTACCGTATCCGTGAACATTATTAAAACTACAAAACACATTCGGAAGCCATCGCTGTTTCTTAGATCTTAATCAATAACTTTCCCAAAGATCTTTAACTTCTCATTCCACTTAGGATCCCAGGTTTCCGTTAGCGAACCAACTGATGTTCACAGTTACCCCCGGCGGTTTATTGCCCGGTCTTATATTTATCTGCAATATTTGTCCTACTTGACCTGGCAAAAACCAATCCGTCCTTTTTTCCGTCCGCCAACCTCGCCTATCATCTACCTTCAATTTATCAGAATATTCGCGGCACAACAAATACCACTCCGGGCTGTTGTGCGACGTGGTACCTAGTTTGATTGCTTTGATTTGCTTAAATTTGTTAGTGAGATATTGTGCACCACTTGCACAACGCCGTGCCACAATCCATTCATTTTGACACACACATTTTCCCGCCGGTGTTTATTTTGCTTATCAAAGCTAACGAAGCTTCTAAAATTAGCAAGTCTATGTTTACAATGTAGGTCCTTAATGTTTCCTCTGTCTAGTGTGGTTGGGTCTGTGGCCATGATGACATTCACGTTACTTCGATCTCCTTGCCTAAGTTCTCCAACAAGTACTCGGTGTCCTCTCTCAAATAGGCTCGAGCAAACGTAATTCTTAGGGGCTTTGTCGCGCATCGCTATGGAGAAATATTCAGCGAATCCACCATAGTCCGAGCAAGGGTCTAATATGTTTTTGGCTTCCTCGGAAAATTGTATGCTAAGGGAGGCCCGCTGGGACCGCAGATGGCTGAACGGGGAGGGGGGTAGCCATCATTGCACGCGGTCCCCGCGACGAGGGCAGCTATGGGGGTTTTAGTGGGTAAGAATCCCACACTGGGGATTCCCCCCAGGAGAAGCGGGGTGTCTATGCAAGATTTCCCCCATGTAAAAAAAGAAAAAGAAAAAACATTGCTTGCCACATTATATATATATTGCTCTGAAAAATTCATGGACATTAATAATAAGTACTTAGCTTGAAAATAATTTTTACAAAGTGTACATATTGTATCAATGTGATTCTATAATTAGGTCTTTACGTTTTCATCATTGTAACATGTTTCATTATACCAATTGATAAGTCGACGTACTCCTTATACCAAAGTATTCATTTAACAAATGGTTTATATAAAGAAAAAGGATATTATTACTAAATATTATTAATATAACAATAATCTCTATCACATGTTATTTTGGGTTCTTTTTTATATAAGTGTTTATTTTTTTTTTTTAAGTGTGTCGTCGCTTAAGCGAACGTAAAATATTACACGCTTTGCAAAAAAGTGCTTTTAAATAACGATATTCGTTAAAAATTGTTCAAAATTGATTAGAATGAAATTATTAAAGCGTGTCATAAATTAGTTACATATTTCTTGTTATGTTTAAGTATAATCTTTTAATTATCTTTAATATCTTACAAAAAAAATGAAGTATTTTAAGAAAAATTTAGTCGAGTTACATCATCATATTTATAAATGATATGTTTCTTATAGTAATAATTTACGGATATATATGTATACGTTATCAAAAGTGCTATTAGGTAAATGGCCTTTGCATATAATTAAAATATGTTAACAATATAAAGAGCTTAACTTTTAAATTTCGCTTAGTTTTCGATTTGAAAGTATGTACAATAGCAACACGTATCACACGTTTATCAGGACCGAAACTAAAGGAATTGTATTGAATTCATAGTCGAGAAATGTCACGAATACAGTGATATATATGCGTGTATATATTTGCGCATACATGCTTTATGCCAATTTAAAAATCTAATTGGAGATACAGACATTTCACACGCAATTTTTATACAAAAAATATTACAATAAATGTTCATAAAAAGAGGAATATTATGTAAAACAAACACGACTGTATTCTCCAATGATACTTAAAAAGTGTAATGTGCATACACATATGCTCGGTATGTGGACGTTTTACACAATATACGCTATAATATATTGAACTGTCACAAGAATTAAAAATAAATATTTAAACATACATTGCCATTAGATTTATTTTAGTTATTTAACAAATTAAGTTTCAAAAATAAATTATTGAAAAAAATAATCAGTGTTTTGATTGTAATGTTGCTTTCATGAAGAATACAGTTCATTTTGTTTTATTTTTTCATAAACATACAATTATCGATTTTTCTAACATTGTAAATCAAGAAAATATATTTTATGTGAAACTAAAATAATTATATTTCTGTGTTACTAATATACAATAAAATTTAAGGGAGCAATTAAAATATTGAAGTGAATGCTTCGAAATAAATTCAATATCGTTTATAACACGAAAAATTTTATTTGTATAAGGACTGAGACACACTTCCTTTTAAGCAAGTCTATAATTAGAATCAATTTTTAATTAAAAAAAAATTTATGTATAACTTATTTAAACAAGTCCAAGAAATAAATACTTTCAAAGTTCACGGTAATGTCTATATCTTACGCGTCACGTAACATATAACTATTTTAGCTGATTTATAAACAATAATAAGCGAATCATACTAATTTTTACGAAGATTATATAAATGTATGGTACACATCTTTTACATATTCTTAAAATCATTACAAAACATAGTCCAATTCGTATCTAATATACTGATTCTTTGGATCATTCATAATTCGAGGATAGCCAGCTACAAGAGCATCCTGTCCACCTATGTAAAGAGAATTATAAATTTTCCAATATACATCTCGAACTTTTCGTGCCGGGTGGAATAATCCCTGCCAAAATAGTGTTATTGTTAAAATTCTAATTTAATATTATCGAAGTTAAAGTAACAAAAGATAAAATACTGTTACTTTAATATATATACAATGTATCAAGTTACATACCTGTAAAGTATATTGCAATATTTTGATTGGTCCAAGAGCAACACGTAAACCATCCACAGCATCCATAAATGCCTGTACCAAATGTGGCGAAGTTTCAAAAACATTGGGCCACACGTGATTCAGTAAATGTATCAGCGCATCTTCACATCCAAATCCATAAACACCTAACGCCATGTGTTTAATGGCAGCGCATGCAGTTTGCCTGTGCACTAAATCCCTATAATAGTAATAATGTTGAAGTAAGAATGAATTATAACTTTCCGTGAAGAGAATTAAATCTTTGTAGATTTCTTTTTACCTATCCATAAGTGCGTCTTCTAATAGCGGACTAACAGCGTAAATGTAATCTTTCCCCATTTCACCAATATATTCAAATAAAAAGGATAGAGATTTCAATACACCATTTTGTACGTTTAATTCTGGTACTCTGTATTCATTCATTAATGCAGGAAGTACCGTAAATGGACTACAGGTTTCAGCAACGATAGCTATAGCTACTGTAGTACACACTCGATTTTGACGTTCTTGTACTTTTAGATTATTTAAGAGAGTTGCTAATACATCGTGAGGGCTGCCAAAGAAAACAAAAGTTTAGAAATATCTTTACAACACAATACATAACATAAATTTGATATTTTATTTTATAATTACCCTATTGCTTTTGCGATATAACCAAACGTGTTTACTGTAGCTCTTCTGATCGCTTTTTTATGAGCTTTGAGCAGTTCCAAAAGTTCGAAGCATATTCTCATCCATTCTCTGGCAGACACATATTCAGGTCCTCTGTCTGCGATTCTACCTACGAGATCAATGCAATTTTCTTGTACCTAAACAAGATAAATTTCATTATACAATAATCCACTGTTAATATTACTTTTAAATATAAAGATAAATAATACTGACTTTTTCGTGTCTGTTTTTCAAAATGGGAGTAAGTCGTGGTAGTAGATCTTTAATAGGTGGTGTCATTTTTGTCATTCCTATGACATTAACAATAGCTTTCAGTGCGCCTAAAATGCTACCTAATACCTCAGGGTATTCTTCACCCAAATATTCATAAAGCACAACACCTAAATGACCCATTAATTTTTCCTACAGACAAAACAGAAATAAGTATCACTTTATAATAATAAAAGTTTCATGTAGAAAATGTAGCACAACAAAAAATTTACCTCTTGGCAAGTTTTCATGACGACAGCAATTCGTGATATTAAGTCGGCAGCTTGTTGTCTTACTTTTGCAGATTTGTTATTTAATCTCCATAATATTGTACCACATATTTGTGGAAGATATGCTTTTACCCTCTTTCCTAATGTGTTTACAATGGTACCAAAACCATTCAACATTACAACGTCCTACATAATTAAATAAATACAATAAATTCATTATGACGTATGTATAACTTTAATGACTATGAAGAAATTGTAAATATTACAAACCTCCGTTGTCTGTTCTTGGAAAGCATATAAAATACCGTCTATGAGCTGTTCTTCTAAACGAGAATCGACATCTGCAGCTCCCAAATTGCCCATTATTTTCTCAATAGTTTCCATAACCATCTTTCTATATTGTTCATTTTCATCTTTCAAATCGTCTACCACGCGGTTTATAATTTCTGACGCACCAACTTTGTTTGCAATTTCTACTGTTGTGTCAACAAGCTGTAAAATTGAATTTCTAAAGTGTGTAATATTTGTTAATACATTTATTAATAATATAGGTAATACATACCTGTCTATAATTTCTACGATCCAAAGCCATTCGGTGATTCCAGAAGTGTTTGAAGAAGTGTGGAAGAATTTCGTCTTTGATATATTGCGCTTCAACACCATCCGTTCCACAACATTGTTTTACTACCTAATGTGAACATTCACTTATCTTATTTTAAATTCAATGAAACTTAATATTATACTTGTTATTACTGCTTGAGGCACTTACTTTCAAAACGATCTTTTTCATTTCTTCATCAGGTGACTGAAACTCACGAATAAGGATTAACATTACTTCACGAGTATAATAATTAGCGTATTCGGCATCCATAAGAGGAATTAAATAACCAATGGCCTTCAGAAACGCAGCAAGACCTTTTCCTCTGTGTGTACGAATACCCTTCCAAAGTGGTTTGAGAACAGAGTCAAAACTTTCAATACCATAAGGTGTAGCTGCTTCAGCTAAAGCAGCAATTGCTAACGCGGTGATAGTACGAACTTTTTGCTGCTCATCAACCAGACCTGTAAGTTGATCAATGTTCTTTCAATTGTTCTTTAAGATGTAATAATTTAACAGACTGTAGTATTTTAATTACCGTGTTCTATAATTTCAACTAAACTCTTCAAATGTGGTAATATAGCGCATCCCATTAGAATAGCAATTTGTTGTACAATTTTGATACCCGTGTGACGGGCTTGCCATGATTTTTTACTGCGACACACGGCTTTAAGAAACGGAAGTAAGGAAGGAATTCCCAACGCTGACGCGACCACAGCGAATGCTCTAGCTGTCGTGTTACGTACGTATTCATCGATATTGTCAATATCTGGTCTCATTGTAGAAATCATTGTCGCTAAACCAGCCGCTTTTGCCAAATTAGAGATAATTTCTCTGCCTTCTACACGAGCATAGTAGTCTTCGTCAATGAGTAAAGGCTCAATAACCACTAAAATCTGAACACAAATAGTATTTTTACATTTATTAGAGTGAATAAAAGAAAACTTAAATATCATATATCATCTGTAAACTTACCTTATGTACATAAGGCCTGACCAAATCATCGAGTTTATAAAGAATACGATCGATAACTTTTACAAGAAGATGACGTTCTTGATCTTCCAAAGTAGGAGACATAAGGAGAGGAAGTATCTGGTTAAATAATGGACCCGCACCAAACTCTCTTGCTTTGTCAGTAATTTGTCGCAGGGCAGCTTTCCTCATTGGTGGTGTGCCATTTTTAATTTTTAACAGTAACTTCATGATCTTCCTCTCCTTTTGCTCTTCGGGGCTAAGCGTTTCCTCATCAACATCAACCAATAACTTATCAAAATATTGTGCGTCCTCCGGTTTCATAAAAGGCAAATTTCCCTTTGGTTGATTGTCCACAAATTTTGCAGTTTTATCTTCGGTTTGGATAAAAAACCCCTGTGGTGTGCCCGCGATTGGCGTTGGTGTAGCAGTAAGCTTTCTCGCGGGAGTACGAATTGGAATGTACCCTAAATAAAAAGAATATCAAATTATAAAATATATAATTA